TATTATTGAATTATTATTCTTGAGTCTTATTCTTGAGACTTATTCACTCAACAAACATTTATTGAGCAACCTCTGTGCCCACACTGAGCATTTTTGTTTCTGCTGAAAGCTCTATCTTCAGATAAAGACCACAGGGCAGTATAGAAGAGAATGAGTCCCGGAGCACAGGAAGGGAAAGTGGAATGCTCAAAAGTGACCCATTCAGCATTTAAATGAAAATTCCTGAAGACATTGAGAATAGTGACCTAAGACTGGAGATTCCCAAGTAGAATGCATGGCTATATGAGTGGCTAATCTGCACTGGAATGTAAGAACTGGAATTGGATAGATAATGTATTTGAAAATCATGTGTAACTATATATCACTACACAAATGTTTAAATTGTTACGTAGTCTTACAAAAATAGAGTAGCATGTGAAGTGTGAGGGAAGATTGGTCCCAAGACAGGTCATTTACTAAAGGGTTAATTTATCCTGTCAGGTAGTTCAGAATCATGTACTTGGAGAAGCAGGAGTTGCCATTGCACCTCAGAAAAGAAAGAAGCTTCAGGTCTGACTGTTGGTTCCTGAATTCTCTATCATAGAAGTCTTCCACTGGAGTCCCCAAGGCAAGGACATTGATTCTGCTCAGAAAATCTCATTGGCCCCCATGGGAGAAATTTCAGCCTAGGAATTTATGGTTCTATTTACTTTTCTTTCTTCCTCCTTTCTCTTGTTGTGTTTGGTTGTCTGATTTGACTGCTTAGGGGCATTCTGTGTCCTTCTTGTTGATGTTTTGCTTTGCTTTTGTTTTGATTTCATTCGTTTCTCCTGACTTGTTATCCTTTGTGGGGAGGTCCAGCATAGACTTTACTGATGAGACTGATGATCTCCATAAGGCCCTCCTCCTCTTCAGGAAAGCTGGCCTAGAAATGGGTTGAGGATGAGCTTCTCAGGGATGAAGGAATAGAGTGGGCCAGTGTCTTAGTCATCTCAGGCTAGCATAACAAAATATCAGAGACTGGGTGGCTTCAGCAACAGAAATTTATTTTCTTACAGTTCTGGAAGATGGAAGTCTAAAATCAAGGTGCCAGCGTGGTTGGTCTCTGCTGAAAGCTCTATCTTCCTGGCTTCTAAACAGCTGCCTTCTCCCTGGTGGGTCTTCTGATAAGGACACCAATCCCGTCATGGGGTCCCCACCCTCATGACCTCTAAACCTAATACCTCCTAAAGGCCCCATCTCCAAATACCATCACATTAGACAGGCTTCAATATATGAATATGAGGGGGACATAATTCAATTCATAGCAGCCAGTGCCACCCCCTGCCAAGGCCAACTCTTCTCATGCTGCTCCTGGGGCTGATGGTCCAGAGTACTTATTAATTAGAGGCCACGTAGGCTATGGAGTCCACCACACAGATGCAGTCGCTGAATTCATCTTTATACTAGAAAATGAGCTTGACAAAGTGGTTGTAAGAGCCATGGCTGATCCAATACCAGAGGTGGAGGTCTCACTGAAACCTCCTTTTCACCTGGGATACCCTTGAAGGGTCCCTCTAATACCTGCCTCACCTTTTGTGATGTTGTAACCTTTTGTAGCTATTTTCCAGCTTTCTCTAGAGATCAGGTCAGATCCATGACAGGTATGTTAGGGGTAGGAATTTGGAAGACCAAGCCAGTGATATTCCTGTTAAACTCAGGAGGTCCTTCCCTCAGCTCTGGCAGTTCCCTGGACGTAGAGATGGTGCTCTGGGCAGCACCCCAGCCACCATGCCAGTCTCCCAGAAGAGCTATGTGAAGCTCTCTGTGTGGCAGCACTGGCCTTGATGTAGTTACCAGTGTCTCCACAGTACCATCATTGTCATGATCACCTGGGAAACCAAGAGTTGATGTAGGAGGTGCTGCTGACAAGGTTGAGGTCAACACCACCACAAACATGATGGCATACACAGGAGGGGCAGAGATGACGCAAGTCCAGCCTTCCCTAGGTAGTCAAGACACCAGTGGTCTCATACTCATCCACGCAACCTGGTCAGCACCAGCGCCACCCCCATTTGATGTTATAAGGTGGAGATGTACTTTCCGTTGATCCCAAGCCTCCCAGTCTCAGCTTAGTGCCAGGGAACTTGCCATGGACAATAGAACCACAGAGCATGTAGTTGTGATTGAGGGGGACAATGATGGTAACAGTATTGCTTTGCCAGTACTGAAAGCAGAGCCCTCCCTGGTCAGGCGTGCTGTATGGCCAAATCTTTTTATTCTGACATTGTCATAGACATGCAGCTGGCACTTCATAAAAGGGCACAGCTGACTGTTGAGTGGGAATGAGCTCTTTCTTAAGGAGGCAGGATGGCAACATTATTATCTCCTTACATTCTCAAGGAAATAACCAGAGAGGATTAGCACAGGAACCCAGGGGTGGGTGCCAACACATGCCAGACACCTGAAGGAATTCCTTAGGCACATGGTGCAGGAGGAGCCACTGGGAGCTGACACGAGGCCTGCAGAGTGAACTTGGTGGTGTTTGTTCACTAGAAAAAGAAGTCCAGAGCCAGAGAGTGCTACCCCTTCGGCTTTACTTGTCCACTGAAGCCACTGAAAAGTTTTAACCCGAAGAGTAATATATTGGATTTCTAATTTTAACAGATTAAGAGACTTGGACTAGGATAGTGGCAGTGGAAACTGAATAAAGTGGATAGGCTTCCCGAATATACTGAATGTACAATGATAGGATTTTGTGTTGGATTGGATGTTAAAAGTAGCTGTCTTTGGGTCATGGAATTGGAGGATAATTTTTAGTCACCTCTTTTTCTTTTATACATTTTCTAACTTTCTACAACAAACACTGATTTTTCAATGATTTTTAAAACCAAAAATTTTTTTTTAAAGTTCTTCTTGAATACACCAAAAAGAAATAACCAGATTATGTGCATGGTAGATCCTGGAGAAATCAACTTCCAAATAAGAAAAGTCTTCAAAAGAAAAGCAAGAGAGATGGAAGAGGAGCCAGGCCAGTGGGTGGCATGTGGAAATGGCATGACTGTCAAGGTCCCTGTGCTAGGCTAGGGCAGTGGGTGCCAGAATTGCTTTCAGCACTGGAATTGTTTTTTCAAATAAAATATACACGGAGGCCCTGCCTATAAAGAGATGGCAGGAGAACTGCTCTGGCTGAAGGGAGAGGAGGCCCTGAGCCCCTGTGGCTCCACCTCCCCTCCCTTTTCTCTCCTTCCCCAGCAACAAAGGCCCAGGCACCTCTGAGGGTGAGATCAACAATGGTTGGCTTTTCCTTTTCTGTTTCCTTGGCTTTAGAGATTTAAGCAGAGGCAGTTCTGTTTGAGGCGTGTGATATGTGGGTGACAGACAAAACTGAGTGGAAGCCTGGTTGCACTGTTAGTCTATCATAGCCATTATTGTGCATTGGCAAGAATGAATGTATTTTGAAGGTAGTACAGCCCTGATTAGAAAGATGCCTTATATGATAAACATCTTAGATGGGCAAACAAAGGAAAGAAGATGTTTATCTTTCAAGGAAAGAAAAGACAAATGAGAGATGAGAACATGACTTGTGAGACAAACACCGACCCCAGGTTGGGCCTAAATTATATGTTTTCTTAATCTTTTGTTTGAATCAGGGCCACTGCTAAGGACACCTAATCAAATCACAGAGCTAAGAGAGCCAGCTAGTCCAGGGTAGGTGAGCAGGCTGGGCCCCTGCCCTGTGGGCAATCACTACCCCTTTTCTGTCACCACTCAGACAATAAAGGGGTGTCAGTGTCCTGTCAAACTGAGTTTTCAGCACAGCTCTAACAGCTTATGAATTAATGTTGGGAAACCATACTTTTATTTTTGAAGTCATGCCTTTTTAGATCAATTCATCTTAAAAGAGGTTTGATGGAGAACAAGGGCATGGGGGGTAGGTTAAGAATGCATTCTTTTTCCATCCCTGACTCCTCTCCCTGTCCTGCCTCATGGTTGCTATGGCAGCTGCCCTGTTCTCCATGACTGTACTCCTGGCCAGAGGTGAGGCACAGGGCTGAGCATGGATTCAAGCTGAACCAGTCCTAACACTTCATCCCCAATTCTAGCTGATTTCTTCAAGGGTGGCAATTGAATCCATGCCAAGCCTATGAAACAGAAATAGAAGAAAGGAATTCTGGATTTGAACCCAAGGACATCAGTTCATCTTTTTGGGCAGCTGAAGAAGTAAGCATTAAAACTTTATCTCATCCTTCAGTAGGTGGATGGATAGTCAAAATCTGATATATCCACATAATGGAATACAATACAGCTGTTAAAAGGGAGAAGCTACGGATACACACACCAACTTCAGTTGAGATTTCAAAGACACTTTGATGATTGAGGGAAGCCAGTCCCCAAAAGTTATATACCTTATATTTCTATTTGTATGACATTCTCAAAAAGACAAACTATAGTGATGGATATATGTCAGAGGTTGCCAGGTGTTCAAGGTAGGGGGAAAGTATGACTGTACAGCAATAGCAAGAGCAGTTTGAGGGCTATGCTATTGTTCTGTACTCTGTGGTGGTAGTTACACAATTGTATACATATATTAAAATTCACAGAATTCACAAATCTTTTTCAAAAGAAAAAAGTAAATTTTACTGTATGATATTTTTTAAAACAACAATTTCAAACTGTTGAAAAGAAAGGCTTTCTCATCTACAAGGAGAGATGGCTGATCTGCAAAAGATAGAAAGCAGAGAAGAGGCGAGAAGGTACAAGAAATGAACCCAAGTCCTTTGAGGCCAGTTGTTCCAGAAGCTGCATTCCCATTCCTGGGCTCCATGAAACAATCTCATATTCTCATAATAAATTCTCCTTTTGTGTTTAAGCTAGCTTAGCTAGGTTGTTTCATTAACAATCTGGAATCCTGACTAATTTAGTCAGGAATTGCTGGTTTGTTTTTATATTTGCTGTTCTGAAGCTGGAAGATAGCTTTCTCCTCTATAAGCGTAATAGTGAATGTGAAGCTGCTTTCCAGATAATGTCACCTCAGCATTTATAGGTTTTACTGCATGAATAACAAAACACACATTCCAAACTGCTGACCTACTAAGTCCTAACCCTTGCCAAAACATATCTCTCCCTAAGGTTACCACATAATTGTGTGAGTGCCCGTTAAATCTAAGAAATTTTTAAGCAACATTTACTATCACATGCAGTTCAGCTGACCTTATAGGGCAGTTTCCACAAAGCATGCCAGGAAAAATCCCATGTTCCTAGCCTGCTGATGGAGTTAGCTCCCCAGGTTAAGCACAAACTGATGAAAGATGCCAGTGATGCCAAGCTCAAAGAAATGCTTTTAAAATTTAGCAATCTAATCACCACCAGGTTTGGGAAAAGTTTAAAGCATTTCAGAAACAGTGAGAAAAGCAAAGGTCCTGTTGACTATGAAGTTTGTTCTTGGTCACCAAGACCTGACGTAAGGTTATGATCACTGTTTTAATATGAAATTCAATTTTTTCATTTAAAAAATAAGAAAGGTAGGCTACTGTAGGCCTTGTTGCCCCTGTAATGAGCCAAAAGACAAGAGCCACAATTCTGATAGATGGAGAGAGAAACGTTTTATTTTATTATTAAAAATTTCTTTCATTGAAGTATAGTTGATATACAATATTATATTGGTTTCAAATATGTATGTTTTATTTTATAGGTTGATTTCGTAAAATAGAATTCAGGATTTAATAACAAATATCAGCATTTTCATGTTCATAAGATTCATATTATAGCAGAAGCTCTCTTAACAGTCTGAACTAATGAGCAGATAAACCAATATTCCTCATTGTCTTTGTAATACACTCTGGCCCATATATTCAATCTGCCTTGTTACTGTAAGATGCCTCACCCACTGAGCTGTACACTTACCAAGAGTATTTGTTTTCCTCTAGCTCAACTCATTCTTTTATATGCATTATAATGAAATATTCTCTAATCCGATAAAATGGGATTGCAAAGAGAAAGAGTTGAATACTCAAGAAATATTCAATAAAGACAAATTGCTGATAATAAAGAACTAGGCTGACAGAGACAGCTATCAATAACCAAGAGGAGAAGGGAACACCTATGGGGAATATATATGAAGATTTTTTTTTTTTGCTCATATCATTTGGTTCTCATTCTACTTTACAGAAACTGGAACTGGAAACTGCAGATGTTATATTCTAAGTGTGAACTAAGCAAGCAAGACCATGTAGAACTCTTATCCCTGGGCCTGTTTTCTAAGAGCCATAACTTTATATCAAAGATTGCCATATAAATATATTCATGTTTTAAGTTGACATAAAATGGTTTATCTTTTACCCACAAATGTACCATTTGTCCTTTATTTTTATCAACATTTTGATTTCTTGTCCACCTGCTGGTCCTCAAGGCTACCGGTTGAGAGGACATGGGCTCAAATACTTTGCCCATCTGTTCCTCTAGCTTCAGTTATATCAAAACTTTGACATCTCCCAAATATCCTAATTTAAAGCCTGTTTGTCAGATTACTCACTGGATACTTCCACTTGGATGTGCAAAAAATAAACTCAATATCCCAAACCATATTCATTCCCTGCCCCCACCTCAAGTCTGCTCCCCTCCTGCGTCTCCCATCCCAGTGGGCCCAGCACAGCAGAGACTTTGCCCCTGGTTTCTTCTTAGCCCACCATCTCTGACCGTTTCCTGAGGCCTGTGTGTGTATGAGAGAGAGGACTCTTCTCTCTTAAGAGCTCTTCACATCTGTGTAGCTCTCTCTAAACCTACTGCCGTTCTTCTGCTCCAGCCTGCTGTCGCTCTCCTGGATCACGGAACAAGCCCTAATTGATTCCCTGCTTCAAGCCTGTTCCATTCCCACCATCATTCTCCTTCACACAAAGTGGCCTTTCTAAGATGTAGGTGTGAATCCCTTGATGAGTTTCTTGATTAAAATTCTACAG